TTATGAACGAAACAAAAAGTACTGTCGATGTTATATTAAACGAACATAATTCCGTTAAGTTGCGTAATATTGAAAGATTTCGATCTGACAATGATATTGTTGATGATGATGATGATGACGATGATGATGATGATGATGATGCTATTGCCAAAGAATCGCAAGACGGAAGAAGACGTTTTATATCTGACGATGAAACAGAAAAGAAGAAGAAATTTATAGTTAAATACAAAGGACGTATTTACGATATTCGTGGATTTTTAAATTATCATCCGGGTGGTAAAAAGATACTTAGTTCATACAAGGAAAAACATTTGGATCGTGTTTTAAAAGAATATCCACATTCGGATGCGGCTTTCCATTTGTTTAATGAATATGCATTGGATAATAAAAACAAATACGACGAGCTTGAGGTAAGTTTCATTAAAAAATTCTTCAAAGAATTTCTATCATTATTGCGACATTATTTTTCTTTTCTTTTTTACTTTTTTTTTTTTTTCTTTCTTTTAATTAATAATTTTACCTACATATTTCTAATAAATAAATTCAAAGAATCTCGGCGAAATGATTCAATGATATTTTTATAATTAAACGACACGAGTATGAATAATAATTGATTAATAATATTCCGTATCACAATGTGACGTCATTCGTCCTTTTTTCTTTGGGAGGGGCGCGGGGTGAATTTCATTAATTCAATTGATAAAATTGATTCGATTAAAGTCTATGATTTTTTGTTAATTTCGAACGTGAAGAAAAAAAAAATGAAGAAAAAATGAAAAAAAAAAAAAGAAAACAACAGAAAAAAGAAAAAAAGAAGAATGTATGATTATAAAACATGAAATACAATAGTAATTACGCAACAATCTAATATAAAAGATAGTAATTTTCTGTTCTATACACTCCATGCTATTTTTGCTTTTAATTCCGAGAATAATTTAATAGACCAATTTATCCCATCAATCTTCTCTCTTTGTTTCTTTTTCTTTTTTATTTTTTCTGCAATATACGCGTGAGTTTCGTCCGTTCAAATTTTGTTCTTCAAATGAGTTAAATCGAACAAAAATAAAAAGAAAAGAAATATCATTTCGTTCATTGATTACTGTTATAATAGATAGTGTGCAATCAATACTTTATAAAGATCCTATCAATTATCAATTCTGAGAAAAAAAAATGATCGAAATAGATATATACATACGTATATATTTGTGTGTGTGTGCATGTGCTTATGTGACAGCGTTCAATTTCGTAAAAAAAAAAAAAGAAACAAAAAAAATTTCATTTTATTTATAGAGCACCATTAAATTAAATGATGTATAATCAGTAACGTTATGAAAATCCTATCAATTATCAATTCTGAGAAAAAACAATCAAAAATACGTGTGTGTTTATATGTGTATATATACGTATAGAAAAGAAAAAAGATTTAATTAAAGAATTATCTTAGAGTTTGATAGATTGGAACACACCTTTATTAAGTCAAGTGGGCAAGTTAAGTGATCGATATTGGCAATGGGTGAATCTACCGGTAAACCGACCGATACGATTATTTCAATCAAATATATTGGAATTTTTAACAATCACACCATGGTACATGATACCGATCGTATGGATCCCTATTTGTGCATATTTTCTCTATACGGGATTTAGTCTAAGCATTACTCGTCAATTTCCAAGTAAGTACTCACGATTTCTCTATGTTTCAAATAAAAAAAAAAAAAATTTTTTATTTTATTCAAAGAAGAAAGATTCGAGAAGGAAAAAGAAGTTTGGATCATTCATGCGACCTTCTTATTAAATTCAAAAAAAAAAAAAAGAAAAGAAATTTTCATACCATTTATGCATTCTTTCACTTCGAGTCATCTAATTACACTTTATGAAATTACGACTAAAAAAAGAAAAAAAAAGGAAAAAAAAAAAGAAAATAAAAAAAAGATAAAACATGATAAACACATGTTTAAAAGACACGATAAAAAAAATTACATATGCAGCCTTCGTTTTTAGTTTTTTCTTTATTAGAAGGCCTCCTTGCCTTCACGGGAGGGGTATTATTGTGGACATTTGAGGAATATCTGTTACACCGTAAATTGTTTCACTTCAGGCCACCAGGGAATTCGAAAATACTTATCACGTTACATTTCCTTCTTCATGGTTTGCATCATAAGGTAAATAAAAATTTTTAATTAAAAGTATAGTCGTACGTTTCACATCGTCACGATTAAGATTTAATCAAACCAGTTGAAAGACTGTAAATAACGTAGACACGTTTCTTGAAAGATAATTTAGTATGCAAACGTACGTTCAACGAACTCACTGAATTATGTCAAACATAAAATGAATCATACGAAGCGTCAGTTTGTTGCCTTTCTTAGAACAGGAAGTTACGAACTTAATTTGGTATTCTATCAATTCTTTCGATACACACACACACACACACACACACACACACACACACACACACACACACACATATATATATATATGTATATATAAATATATAAATGTATATGTAATATATATATATATATAAATATATATATTTTTTAAATATAAATTTATAGATTCCCTTTTGTTTTTATTGATACTAGGCACCTTTTGATGGTCAAAGATTAGTATTTCCACCTATAGCTGGTATTATCATAGCAATTGGCATATGGAAATTGTACATATCGATATTTCCTGATTTTATAGCCAACTTTATTAGTGCTGGAACTGTTGCAGGTGAAGTATAATAATTTCCCTATACGTATAATTAAACGCACTATATGATATAAATTAAATAAATTTAAATAAATAATCTAAACCTAAATGTTTCTTCATTTTTCATAGGATACTTGTGTTACGATTTAATGCATTATTATTTGCATTATGGTAAACCTAATGCCAAAACATATTTTTACGATTTGAAGAGATATCACAATTATCATCATTTCTCGCATCATGATGAAGGTAATGTTTTTTTTTTGCGTTTCATTTTCTTATTCACACAGCATGAGTTTTATGTTTTATTCTTAAACATAAACATTTAATGTTTTATTCTTTATAGGTTTCGGTATTAGTAGTAAAATTTGGGATTATGTTTTTAACACAGATATAAGTTTACAGGAGCTGGTAAAACCAATAGAATGGTAATTTCCTGCTTACGAGTGATAAATGTAATAGAAAAGTTTATATCTAGCATGTAACACGCTTTCAGCTTGGCTATTGTTATTTCTGATAGAAAGTATTACTTAAGTACTTTAAGCCATATTGCTTAATAGATAAATATGTTTAGAAACGATTATACGATCCTCTGAGCGAAATACCATGTCATTAATCAATATTATACATGACGCATTTCATAATATAACTTTGGAAGATCTTATTAAAATGCATGTTGTATAAAGATAAATTAATTAAGTACTTTGATATTCTTAATCTAAATCAAGAGTATTCAATTAGACTCTTGATCACATTTTTTAATTAACTTAAATATCATTATAGTTTTTTTTGTTTTGTTATACCTCATAATATATATATATATATATATATATATATATATCATATTTTTAATACGATGATATATTTCCACAGCCAAGTGAATTACTTTCAAATATCAGTTATAATTAATTAAATGATATAATTTTCTTATGGAGTCTCAGTTTTAATTATTTTCCTACCCATACTCAGTTGAGGAAATGTACTTTTGTTTGGTGGTGGATTTAACCTAGACGACAAATAGACAAAAGGTTCTAATAATGTTTGTCTATCCATTACATTGATCTCATAATGTTTTACCTTTTCCCTGGTACACCAATTGCTTGCTTTATTAGATGTATTCTCTAAGCTATTAGATTTATTTTCATTATTAGTTTTATTACCTAAAACTATTACTGTTATTTCTTTCTTATCCTTGTTCTTATCGATGTCCTTCTTCAATGGAAATAAAACATCCAAAGATTCTGGTTTCGTAGTGTCGTACACTAAGATATAACCATCTGCAAAACCAAGATAGTGCCTGGGAAGTTGTTGATTGTTCGCGTTGCTTTGTAATGATTCTAAACCAGCGGTGTCGTAAAATCTAACTCTCTCTTTTGTACCACGATCCGTTTCTATATTAGCAACATAGATGTCTTCTATAGTGGGATGAATTTCCTATCAAATCATAGAAACAATTTTCAATAACTTTTCATCGAACAAAGTATTAACAAGTGAAAAGTTGTAATTATAACCTAAATATCTTACCGTTTTTGGGGTAACATTTCCATATATGAGTTGTTCTAGCAATGCTGTTTTTCCTACTCCTTTCATTCCACAGACGACTACTCTTGTTGGCTTTCCCATATTTAGAATCTGGTGGTAATCCTACCACGATTTCATTACCTTTTCCTATTACGTCACATCTTGGTATTTGCACTTGAAATAATGCATCGCTTTTAACGTGCAAGTTGATGCAATATTTCCATAATTTCTATCTTTATTTATTAAACGATCAAACAATCTCATAACCTTATTCTTATCATTGTGCATAGAATTTGTGATTGTTAATAATATGATGTAATTTTACTTCGAATATACAATTTCGATACGAATAAAAGAAATTACAATATGATCGACTTTTTATCATTTATTTTCTTATTTATTTCGTACTTTTTGAACACCTTACAAAGTAATTACGTTTCTAGTTCTTACCGCATATTTCCTCTTCTCTAATTGCATTGACCAATCAGAATCAAGATGAATCGACATTCGTTTATTTCTCAAGTTAGCAGTCGATCGAAGCGCCATGTGGAAATACCTTAAGCTTACACGTACGTGAAACACCAATCAATTTTGACGTGTGTGAGGACATAAGTGGCGCCTCCAAGCGGAGATGTAGGTAAATATATTTGAAAAATTTCTCATTTCAAGTTGCGCGTAATCGAATGGCTGCCATAATCTTGAGAGTACACGTTTTTAAAATATTTCTTCAGAAAATCTGCAAAATGGTAAGAAATAATTGAACAACAACCATCTCTTTATCA